CTTGGAAATAACTGAAACATTCTGGCTGAAAATTTTATATGTATAAAAAAATAAACTAATGGAAGCACTTACTGAAAAGAACTTTAGTCCTAACAGTTAAAGTTTGGAAAAGTTGAGAAGTAGCCAAGGAAAGGTTATAATAGTGGAAAATTATAGTGCAAATTAAAATCTTTAAATATAAAACAGTGCCACCAATTGCACCTGTGTTCACTGTCTCCAGATTTTGATTGCTTCACACAATTATTTGAACACACACAAAAGAGCATAGCTAGTCTGCAATTAAGTTGAGAACTTCAGCTCTTTTTTCCAGTCTCCAAGTAAATATGCAACCTCTGCAGATTTATCTGGTAATTTTTTCCTGATCCCTATTTCTGTAAACAAAATGCTCACTGGCTTCAAAAGGGTGAACTTGGTCAACAGCACCGAGGAAAGCAGCAACACAACAAATACAGGCTACTGCCCAGCAGAAAGACAATTAAAATCTCTTTCTGAAATGACCTTAGAGTCACTGACCCTGAACCACTCAACGTCACATTCCTGTATGCTCCATTTAGCCTTGTTCCTCCTCCATCCCACGCGGTAGCTCCTTCATCGCCATTACATAACTGTATTCTGCCTATCACACATTTCCACTACCCCAAATATCCTCAGCCCTATTACCTTCTGGTACCCAAGTTTTTCTTGGGTAGCCTCATCCAACCTCTCAAGAAGCAGAGTTCTGAGATTCCTCAGCTATACAGAGGAATCAACTCTTGAAACATCCAAGGCCTGTTAAGTCAGGGGAACAGGACAAGAGTCCATTCTTCGATATGATCTGATCTCACATGGCCAACAATGACAGCTCTACCACCTTCCCAGAATGGGAGACACCTACCTCTGGGTAGAGCTGTCTAGTGTTTTCCTGGCTGCTGACAGCTAGAACTGGCTGCAGGGCTGACTGCTCCCCTGCAGGGAATCTGTGGGAAATGGACCAAGAAATGACAAGAATGATCAAAAAATATGGAATAACTTCTACACAATAAATGACTACATAGGCTAGAACTCCTCAAGTTGGAAAACATGCAAATGACACAGATTCATGAAATCCTAACCTGGAGACTAGGCAGACACCAGAAATATACACAAAACAAGAGGAAAAGGTGTTCAGAGAAAAAGGAAAGGAGAACTACCAAAAAGAAAAAAACTGACAACAAAAAAACCCTACCACATTAATCTTTTACAAGCTATTGTTGCTTTTACAACTGTGACTAGTTTGAAAAAACCTGCCTCAAAGTATAAGAAAATTACTATTTATTCAGGAGAGAAGTTACTTTTCACAGTTCTTTCTCATCCGGCATCCATACCTTCCTGCACCCATGTTCACACACATGTAGATGCTTCTGGGCTTTGCGTTCACACGGGATCCCAGTCTGTATTTTGGCACACCAGCCACCAACGTATGGGTGAAGTTTTGTGTCAGTGTGGACTCAGATTGCCTGAGGTTTCTTCCTTTTACCCATGCTCTCGCCTCACCCAGGAATAGAAACCTTCTCCTCAGGGGTTCTCTACACTTAACTGTTTTCTGTGTTGTGCCACTATCTGTTACTATTGAATGGGAAATACTCTCCCTTACTTCACACAGGGAACATCCCTGCTCTGTATGACCTTCTTTTACCTAAATGGCACTAAGCCACAGATCTTAGTGGGGGCTCAAGTGGAGATCAGTGTCACAAGTAACTTCTAGGGCAAGATCATAGACAGGCTGAGATTAGCTTTCAGGAGGGCAGGAGTAATGTCTCTGCTGCACATTGCACAGCAGGCTCAACAAGTTTTAGGCAAATACTAAATAATTAGGTTTAAATTAAAAAAAAAAAATCATGCCTAAGCAAGAGTGCTTGAGAGCCCTGCTGAGATCAGGCCTGCAAGATGGGGTTGCCCTGACCAGAGATCTTACACATAGTGTAATCTCAGAAGTCTGCAGCGAGTTGGCAATGTGAGTTGAGCTCTTGCCTAATTAGCAGATTTCTTGTTGTGCCTCAGTGGTTGCACTGCAGAGCTTGGCCACCCTCCACTAATTTGAAACATCTCAAGCTTAAAAACACTTTCTTTCTTTCCAGTTCATCAAGGCCAGCTGGAAAAGCACCTGCCAAGTGCAGAACTCACTTGCAAAGGTTCACGTCCAAAATGAGGCCTGGGACTCAGCCGTTCTGCACTACTGCCTCAACGCTTCTCACACCCGGGCTTCTTACTGAATTCAAGAGGCGAATCGGACAAAATACATATTCCATTATGCCTGTACAAATAACCGTGGGCTAGCATCAGGATTTTTAATAGATCTTGCTCTCATAATTCCCTCACATAAACACATTGCAAGGCACAGGATGGTTACTCCATGTGGTAGCAGGCGCTGGGGTCTTAATTTTGTATTTTCTAAGTTTTTAGCATTTGGAAAGGCAGAGCCACCCTTTGCTAAAAACTTTACTACTGCAAAGTGGGCAACAAAAGCCACCCTGGGAACTTCCTCAGTGACAGACCTCTGCCATAAGCCACAGGTGCAGCGCCCAGGGCCTAGGATGGCCGAAGACAGGAGAAGCTGTCCACCAAAGTGAGCTTGGCTGCAGGAAAGACTCTGAAATTTCCTACAGAGATGGGTCTAATCACAGGTTTCAGAGCCCAGAGCAGCACACTGGCGTGGTAAAAAGGGAGAGGTTTCATAGAGATTTGTAACAGAAATATTAAAACCGGTATGCTTAAGATTGAAGAATGAATTGAAATATTTGTATAAACACCAGAAGACACAGCAGAACAAGATTCGAATGAGCTTCTATAGAAGTGAAGAACACTGTTCCCAGGCAAACTGAGAAATTATTTATTTCCATCTAACCCAGACAGTCTGTGCTCTGACACCCAAGAGACCACAAACAATGAAGCATAGGAGCTTCCCTCAGCCAAAAAAGCATGGGTGCAATTTAAAAATTATTGTATTAACTTGCAAGAGAACTGCCCTGTAAATAGAGATTGAAACCCAATCCATATGTCCTGAGCTGTCCTTTCTCATCCCTCCAGAGCTTACACTCTGCTTACTCAGTATTTTATTTCCTGTCAAGAGAAGATAGATAACAACTGAATATTTTAAATTTGTTTTATTTAAACATAATAATCACAGAAATTCTAGATAATATATGCCTATACAAAAAGTTCATTGTCAGCCAGCAGTGACAAATAGCAATAAGACATATTATTGATCATACTAGTACAGCATTGCAAATTCAAAGAATGAACTTATTCATTACAGAGAAAAATATGAGATGATGTGCAGGATCCAGGGTTATATCTAGTATCTTATATCATATTCTTCTCTTCAGTCTTGTGCGTATCTCATTTGTATAACCTGAAACACCTATAGCCTTTTGCACTTATGCTGTAGGTGGACCCTCCCCAGAACACTAAGGAATTTAAAACAAAGATGTTACATTTTAGGGTGTAGGAGAAAGGTGGAAAAATACCACAGCAATTCATGCTGACAAACCCGTCCATTCTTTGTTCTGCCTTGGATTAATTTTCAGTGGCCACTTGTGTCCAAGCCAACAGTAAGGTAACATTTGTAGCTAATTCAGCTCGGAGCTAAATAAGACAGGAGCTGAGACTGTTGCCTAAGCAGGTACTAAACCTGCTTTCCATGCTCAGAGAGGAAAGACAACCTACACAATCTGAAAAGGCAGAATGCAACACCTGATACCGACAGAGAAGCCTGTAGCCATCAGCTACCTGTAACCATTTGATCTGTATTTGTCTGCTTGAATTCATGCCATGTCTACATTGCATTAACATGGACCTATCGTAATGAAGGGTAGCTAAAACAGAAGGGGGAAAGACTCCGATACCTTTGTTGAAAACACTGCTACTTCTACCTGCCCAAAGTCCCTGGGGTGAAGAAACACAGACACTTTCTCATTGTACTCACAAATGTGAGTTTGAAGTCAAGAAAGGTTATGCTCTGACCACCAAGTGCAGTCTGAAAGTAGGTACTCTGAAATCATAGAATCATAGAATTGTTTCAGTTGGAAAGGACCTTTAAAGATCACCCAGTCCAACCCCTCTGCCGTGACGTGGTTCTAATAGAACCACCTTCCACTAAACCAGACTTCTCAAAGCCCCATCCAACCTGGCCTTGAGCACTTCCAGGGATGGGCCAAACACAGCCTCTCTGGACAAAAAAGAAAAGATTTTCTTCCTAATATCTAATCTAAACCTGCTCTCTGCCAGTGTAAAGCCATTCTCCCTTGTCATGTCACTACATGCCTTTGCCAAAACTGTCTCTCCAGCTCTCATATAGCCTCTTTAGGTATTGGAAGGCTGCTAAAAGGTCTCCCCAGAGCCTTCTCTTCTCCAGACTGAACAACCCCAACCCTCCCAGCACAGAAATGGCTCTGAGGATCAGATCACACAGTAAACACACACAACGTGTGCATTTCTTCAGTGTATCTGTGAGGGAATTTGAGCTTCCATACAGTACAGCATCATACACAGTTACAGCAGTCATCTCTCAGTGCACCTGGTGTATGTCACCGTGCCTAATCACGCAGCTTTTCTGATTAACTTTTCCATTTTTTTCTCTCTCTCTCTTTTATTTTTGAATGCAGATTTCACTTGTTCCTGATTGCTTTGGCCAGGTTTATCTGGATTTAAACACTTTGGATCCAGCCAGATAGCAAGACCGACTCTAATTGCCAGGTACCAAGTACTCTCTTTCCTCAGAGAAAACCCCGCCAGCTTTAACTCGGAGGCAGCGGAGGGGCTTGTGGGACCCGGGGCTGTACGAGGTGTGTGAGGAGATGTCCCCTTTTCCCGCCTACCACGTTCATCACTGCGATGACGCGCTACAGCTCCCGTCAGGCCCCGCTCCGCCCCGCCCAGCACCGCCCCTGTGATGTCGCGCGTTGCCCCATGGGAGTTGTAGTCTTTGGCGGCGGCGCCACGGAAGTGACTCAGCAGTGCCGGGTGAGCGGGGGCGTGTTGACTTCCTGGGGCCGGCGCTCATGGAGGCTCGGGAGCGGCGAGGAGGCATCTGAGGGGTTCGCCGGCCGCCGCCATGTTCGGCTGCCTGGTGGCGGGCAGGCTGGTGAGCGCTGCTCGGGCCCGGGCGGGGCCCTCAACCTGCTCGGGGCTGGGGTGGAGCTGCCGCAGGGCCATTCCCCTCTCCCGGCCCCAGGCGCAGGGGACCGCGCCGTCCTTGTGCCTCCTGCCCGGCGCCTCGGCCGGCTCCTGCCCCGCGTCCGCAGAGGCAGCTGCGGTGTAGAGCCTCCTGGCCAGGAGGCGGTTGCAATGCCCTCTGTTAATGTTGTCTCCTCAGAGACAAGCTGGGAGCTTAAAAGAAGCGTTTTAAGTCTAGATCGTGCCTTGGCTGCAAGGATGTGGCATCTCGGGTAAAGATGAGGGTATCTTTTGCTCTGGCATTCAGCCGTCCTTCTACTGCCTTTCTCAAGGTCTATTGTATTTCCTATGTGAACAGGTTTCCATGATCCTGGGGTTGTGCCAGCCAGGTGGTCAACAGCCACTGCTTATTGACTTGGCAACCTCTTCTGCACCCTACTTTCCTCCTACGCACGTGGGGAGCGAAGGTATTCTGATCCTGTAGTCCCGGGTGGGATATGTGTTAAGTGCAGGTAGAACAAGACTGTTGTGTCTTTCTGGTAATATTTTTTGCAGTTGTTCTTCTGCTGTGTTTGACTTTTATCTGGCTCTTTGCTCTTTAGGTTAGTACGTTCCTCACTTTTCTGTTATGTGCCACTTTAGGTGTATTTCTGTAAAAGGAAGTTCACAGTGACAGCCAAAAATGAAAAACGCATTAATACTAATAAAGGTTTTGTTCTCTTTAGGTACAAGCAGCTCCCCAACAAGTGGCTGAAGACAAATTTGTATTTGATTTACCCGACTATGAAAATATCAACCATGTAGTGGTCTTCATGCTGGGAACTATACCATTTCCAGAAGGAATGGGAGGATCTGTCTATTTTTGTTATCCAGACCAGAGTGGGATGGCAGTCTGGCAGCTGCTGGGGTTTGTCACCAATGAGAAGCCAAGTGCCATCTTCAAAATTTCTGGTCTGAAATCTGGTAAGACTGGTAGAACATAGCAATTGGTGAAACAGATGTGTTCCTGTATGCATAAGGGGTAAATGTGTGAAGGTGGGTTTGAACAGAAAACTACTTGAAAAAGCAGCCTGCTCTGTGTTTTCAGATAGTTCTGAGCAGATGTACTGGAAGCAGCCTGTCAGCTTGATGGAAGTCTATGTGTGTGTGTGTTAATGTTCCCAGTGAAATTTCTCACTCATCTTGTGTTGTACGTGGTGTTGATCTGGAAATTTCTCTGAGCAGGTTTGACATGTGTTTTTGTGCTTCTGCATAAACAACCTGAGAAGAAATGATCCTGTCACTTCCCTAGCATGGTTTTCAGGCATTTGTCTAGAAATACCTGCAGCATTTTTTTTCACCTTCCGTTGCTAAGTGGTTGTGTTCTTTGTAGCTCAGACAGGTTTTGTAGGGAGTAGAGCCTGACAGTGATTTCGGACAGCTACTGTTTCCCAATCAGGTGCAGTTGCAGTATATGATTACCCAATAGAGGGTGTCTTCATTGGAAAGCAGCTTTGCAAATGTTTCAGTATTTTTAGTACAGACTCGAGTCAGAGGATGCTGGTGCTACCTGAAGAAGGTGTGTGTATGTTTTCCTGAATTTACGGTGGGGTTGCTATGTACGTTATAAAAATGACAACAGCTTCCAACGGCACATCTTTGTCATATTAAAGGGACAGATTTGTCAGTCAGGCAGTGTAAAGTGTTATGGTGATAAAGTAGTACACATCTTCTGTGGGCTTGAGTGTAGTCTGCAGCTGTAACTTGAATCTCTGTTTAATTAAGCACTGAGGTTCCTGTGATAAAATGTATTCATTCATAAGGTAGTAGGCCTTTTGAATCAATCCTGGATGTGGCAGTGTGGTATCAGATCAGGGCTCTCAAGCTGCAGAGCAAAAGGAATTCTGATCATACACATTCCTCAAAATCTGGGCTTTCTTCAGAAGAGAGAGCAACCATAGGAAAGTTTTGGGGGGACGTGGTTTTGTATATCCCAAAGCTGTGTGGGTAGTGAAACAGCAAAGCATATCACTGGTGCTTTTGCCATATGTTTCTCGTGCTTGAAAGACTGTCAGACAGCTTTGGAGGAAAATGCATTTTTAGATGCTTTTTGCGTGATTAGCTTTAATTTCCAGGCAAGGGCTGCTCTCACAGAAGAATTCCGTGATGTAGTTGGATGCATTTGCAGGGCCTTAAGACAGTGCTGTGCTTAATCTCTGTGAAAGCTCTGCCATTCCAGTTGTTGTCTTCAGCTTATCTCTGTCTGTGGGGTCAGTATAAGCTACATGGTCTAAGTGTCCATGGCCATAAACAATTTTGTGATGGAGAAGGCTACATGATTGTAGAAAGGGAGGGATATCCCAGAAAGGGATAACAGAGAGCTAGAATCATTGAGAGACATTATTAACACTTGAAATCTGCATTTTTTTGAGAGGAATGAAGCTGTGTCCCTGTTTACCAGCTCCCTCTGAAACAGTGATTGTAGCAGAGTTTCTTGTTGTGGGATGAGTTTTGTTTGTTTGCACATAAAGAAGGGGCTTAGAAGTACTCCCTGCCTTGGAACTGTAAAATTTTTTGTTGTTTAGTTGTGCCTGAAGGCGTGGTAGAAATAGAGAACAAACTTTGGACTTGGATTTTGCACCCTTATGGAAGTATGTTGACAAGTGGGATTAAAGTTACAGGATAGCCTTTTCCATTACAGACTTTGCTGTGCATGCAATGAAGTGCGTGATGCTCTTCATGCTCTAATGTGATATCTGCATTTGAGGCCTACACATGAGTAAGGTTTTTGATGTGGCTGGGCTGAAAGGTAGCGAGGGCTCCCTGTTTTGAATCAAGCAGTTGCTCTGCTGTGACACAGGGTTTGACTGTGAAAACCTGAGCCTGTGTTTCGGTACCGATTACCAACGTGCTGTGTTCTCTGCATTTGTAAGGCATGGAATGCTAATCATGAGAGCCAAGCATCGAAAATGTGGAGTGTATTTCAGTTGTTGTAAGGATGGCAGTGGATGCTTTTATTTCACTGTTTTAGGCAGAAATCTTTCGAAGGAAGTGGTTCCACTGGAGTGCATGCCAAGTGACAGAGTGGATGTATTTTATTGTTTAGATCATGACTGTCTTTTTAAATTACATATTTAATAGAGCCTGTTATATGGGGGTTTTTTTGTTGTTTTTTTTTTTACCCAAATCTTCGTTCGCAAAGCCTAGCCATGATGTTATATTTTTATTGTAAATGTCAGCTTCTGAGGTGAAGTTATTACAAGATGTAAAACTAATACCAGCTCTCCTGTTTTGGGGATTTTTGAATAATGAACTTGTGTGATATTTGGGTTCTGGTAGCTTTTCTCTTTTTTATAATATTTAAGTAAATTTTACCTTTATCAAGCAAGCATCTATCACTAGTAAAGGTTGAGATTGTACAGCAATGACATTTCTAAGAAGAGGTTCTAAATAGCATTTCAGGAGAATAACTCTTCTTCCTGGCCTTGTGTTAAAGTAACATTTTAATAGCGAGTGTTTTACTCATAAATGCAGCACTGTATTGCAGTTGTAGGATCTGGAGTGAGGAGTAGCACTTGGCTTCAATTGAAAAGGATTCTGTGTTTGTGAATGTACTTTCCATATGGTTTGGCTGTTGGCTTCTTTCTGGTAGTGCCTTGTGTCTCTGCATTAGAATGGTCAAGTTCCTGAGATCTTCAGTCTTGAGCCTCAGTTCAACTGATCTGGATGAGTTTTTGACCATGGAACTAAGTCAGATGGTGCTTTAGATTTCTGTTAGCCTTTCTTGCAATATAGTGTTGACTGGTCTGTAGGACAGACCTTGATTAGCTCTTGATTAGCTTTTCTTTCTCCTGCTAGTAAGGGACCAAAGACTGCTACTGGAACATCACCTGTGTTAAGAGGGTACTTGTCTGTTATGTTTGCACAAACTCAGGTGGAGTATTAGTGTTTGTGTACTAATGGCATTGTAGTCCCACAGACCTTTCTCCTGTATTTTCCTTTACAGGTGCTGACAGAAGAGTACATGATTTAAGTGACTAAGTGTCTGTCCTTGTTTGCAGATTTAAGTGACTCTGTCTGTCCTTGTTTGCAGAGACCTTGGCTGAAGCTGGGACTGAAAGTATGGGTTGAGAAAGGTCAGAAGTGAGGGCAGGGGTCTGGGATGATGCCTCTGTGAGTGGCAAGCAATTTGGGGGTGGTTTCCTGCCCAGTTCATTGTTTACTTTGTGGCACTTGTGAAGTCAGAGGTCTTTCTGTTCCACGGCTGTTTCTTTGACCTTTGCTTTTTTGGTGATTTTGAGCAGCTCAGGTGAGACCTGGGGCTGCCCAGCCCTCCCTGAGTCAGAGAGATCTTGAAGTAGTGTCCTCTACTTCTTCAGAGCACGAACAGGTTCACAGAACCCTGTGTTTTAATGAGTGAATTAAACAGTTGTGCAGCAGTGCTGCATGTTTCCTGTTTATCAGCAATTGCTACAATGTGAATGAAAGGCTTGGTTCCCATAGAGAAAGGTTCTGCTGTCTTTCAGATCGTATTTCCTCTTGAATCCACTTACTTCATAGGGAGCTTTCAAGTTATGTTTTTATGTTTTTTTGAAATTTCCTTATGATCTGTTGTGGTTTTTAAATGTACCAGTCACACCATTCCATCTGTTGTGCCTGTGTGTACTTGTGCCTGTGTGGTATTTCTCTGTGTTTCTGAGATAGGGAGATTTCTCTGACAGGAGCTGAGGAATACCTTTTACAGAAGGAACACGGTGATTTAAGTTCCACAGTCTTTACATGTGTGCCAAATCTAACATGTGCTGTCCGTGGTGCTTTCAGGGAAGGGAAGTCAACATCCCTTTGGTGCCATGAACCTCCCACAGACGCCAACAGTGGCCCAGATTGGAATCTCAGTGGAACTGCTGGAGAACCTGGCCCAGCAGACTCCTGTTGCAAGTGCTGCTGTGTCATCAGTAGATTCATTCACAGAGGTAGCTTGGACATTCTGTTTTCAGAAATTCTCTGTACTATGAAAGTCTTAAGAATTGAGACTAATGGGGGGAGGAGAAGCTGCCGTGGGTGGCCGTAGGATTGAAACCAACCTAATCATTGTCAAATCATTTGGCTGGAAGATTTAATATTTTGAAATTACTTTTTCTTACACTGAAAAACTGCCTCCTGTAAAGGATTGGAATTTGCATGCTCAGTGTCATCAGGCCAATAGATTTATTTGTGTCAGTGTCACTCTGCTATAAAATTATTTATGATACTTCCTAAGAGGAGCGGCTATGACTAAATACATGTAAGAGGCAGTGGATCTTTGGTCAGAATCACAGAATATTCTGAGTTGGAAGGGACCCAGAAGGACCATTGAGTCCAGCTCTTAAGTGAGTGGCCCATACAGGGGATTGAACTCGTGGCCTCGGTGTTATTACCACCAAGTCTTAACCAACTGAGCTAATCTCAGGGTCATTTATAGGTGCTGAAACTCCAGTGCATAGGCTTGCAGGGATGGTCAAAAATTACTAAAAGTCAAGGCAGAGCTGGACATAGACACAAATAGATATCCAAGTGTACCACTGACCCTTGAGAAATCCTTCTGATGTAGCTCTGCAGAACTACAGAATCATGCCCTCCCCCACAGAAAGATTTTTCTTTTTTCCAGTTCTTTCTCTGTGGATCAGGCCTTGCGCTACAACATGTGCCATTTTTTTACTCAGCCTGTTAGTTTGAACCTCTGGAAATCCACAACCAGCTCTGGCAGTTAGTTGACCGTCTAACAGCAGTTCAAGGCAAGCTAGACCTGCATGGTGGGTCATGATTTCCCTAACACTGACAGCTCTGGCATTATCTTTTAACATATCAGCAGTTGGTGAGGCTTTTCTTCAGGCCTTTTTTTCTTTCTCACGTTCCTTCCAGGTTGCTGAGGTAGACTGGTAATTGGAACAGTAATCCTGATACTGTAGCTGATGTTCTTTTGCAGTTTATATACATTATAGCTGCAAATAGGTGATGTCTCTTGGAGAAAATTACCATGACTAGGAGTTGACCAACAGCTAGTTTTGTATAGTACAGTTAATTGAGCTTTTCTGGAGTTGTTAGGGGCATATGGCGTTTAAATATTTCTTATTCACCAATTTGCATTAGAGCAGTAGTTAAGTCATGAAGTAATAATGTGACCACTTCAGGTCATTTGCAAAGGTGCTCATAGATTTTTCTGAAAACAGTATTTAAAGAAAAAAACCCACCTCACGATTGCATAACATTTTTACAAATGTTATTTTCAGTTAGGTAGATTTTTCTATTAAAAGTAGCATCTTAACTGAAATCATATATTGCCTTCAAGAAATGCACTTGACCCAAAGGTTCAAGTAATAGTTACTCCTACAGAGAAAATGCATGATGTCAAAGTTGAAGGAAACCTTTGAGGGAATAGATTGCAGAGGAAGGGCATATATGACTGGGAGCATGTTTGTGAATGACTAATGGCTTTCATTTAATATTTAACATCATCTGTTTGAAACTGCTACATTATAGCAATAAGAATATCTTTTTAAAGGCAAAATCATCTGTTGCTACCCTAAGTTAAGGAGTTCCTCTCCCACTACTTTTCTAGTAAGTTTCATGAAGATTTATGATTGAATATGCCGGTTTTTAATTATGTGTAGTTATATATAAAAAGGTTGTTTGGAAAGTAGGACAAAACTATAGAGTTCTGCATGTGAGTGGGGTGAGACTGAGGATAGGCTCCTGGGACATCATTTCTTCTGCTCCTTTTGTCAGAGCAGGTGGAGGGAAGCACAGGACTGTGCCTATATTGACTCAGGTTCAGTTTTCCTGCATCATTTCAATGCATTCATTTTCTATGAAAACGGCCTGTTCTCCCATCAAAATGCATAACTTTTTTTTTTTTAATAAAAAGAATAGGGGAAATAAGGAAGTACTGTAAACTTGTGTATTTATAGACTGACTGGGAATGTCCTACAACCTCAACCTCTGCATATGGGACTTGCTGTTTCTTGGCCTCTCTTTCACTCTTGTTTCCTTATCCTACAGTTTAGGAGTGTCCTGTGTATCTTTTTCATGTTTTCCCCTGCAAGATTTTGTGGCGAAGGATGTCGGGATAGCAGTCCTGTGGTGAATGCTGAAGGAAATTGCCCTGTCACTGGAGTCTGATGAGTTGTAACGAGAGACTGCAGAATTTTCAGCTGGTTTAACAACTAGTGTTGTGCTGGTAGCTGGAATGGCAGCATTGACCTGGTCTGCAGGTCTTCTGATGGTTTAATTTGGCAGAGAGGGACAGCTCTTGTCACTGCATCACTTCTTTTTCACAAACAGAAAATGTTCTTTCCCAAAGCTGTTTATCCAGTTGGATGAAATAGAGCAGGGAGAGGGCAAGCGGAGATACATCCAGTATCCATAAATCATTTTCAGTATCTGAGGGCAAGACTGAGAATTAAAATGCTTTGATCAATTTAAAATGGATGTCCCTGGATCTACTTTATCCACTGTCCAATTGTGTTTTAAATGACAATACTAATTTTACTTCATATAGGAATTGTGTATCTGTTAAACATTTGCACAAAAGTTCAAAATGAAAAAAATAACTTCCTTAAAATATCTTTTTTTTTTATTTCAGTTCACTCAGAAGATGTTGGATAACTTCTATAACTTTGCTTCCTCGTTTGCTGTTACTCAGGCACAGATGACCCCAAATCCTTCTGAAGCTTTCATTCCGGCAAATGTAGTTCTGAAATGGTAATGGAAATGATCTGTAGTAGGCATTATTAAAACATCTGATTTCTAAGTGTTGAACTGCTGTTCAATACTGTTGAACACTGTTCAATACTATTGTTCAAACTATTGAACGCTGCTGTTCAGTGAGATGAAGCAAAAATGTTTAAAAAGTGTTTGTTCTTGGTTATCTCTAGTATAGAGAGGTCCTGTCCACTGTTTTTATATTTAATTGTCAGCTTTTTTATTAGAAAAGTGCTATACAACCTATGAATTCTTTTTGCTTCTAGAAATGTTGCCCTTGATATATGTGGATTTGCACTCAGTTACTGGTAATGCAAACGCTCTGGAGTTGTGGGAAGATGGAACACACTGATACTTGTCAATTTATGCTTACTTGTTATATTTAGTCTCTTCCTAGACGTAGTTGCAGCATAGGTGCATTATTTAAGAATATGTGAGCGATGGAGAAATCATGTTCCTAGTTGACCTGGTTCTGTCACCAAGATCCTTGAGTGTAAATACAAGTCTCTCTCCGAGGACTGGTTTAAGAAATAACTGTCTGGGAATATCCTGTGTAGTCTAGAGATAAATAGTGAACTGCAGGCAGTCCTTGAGGATGTCTGAAAATTTCCTTCCTATCAGTTTGGCTCTATTTAGCCTCTGTAGTATTAACCTAAACCCTTTTTAAATCAGCATTTTAGGCTATATGAACACAGTTTTATCATTAGTTCAGATCTCATAAATAAGTTAATATAAGCCATATATTTTCTTTGGGAGTGTAACTTGATGCAGATCTCCTGTGTTTAGAAGGTAACTATGCACTCCATGAACATAGATAGATAAGGTCTCTGAGAGTAGTCAGTCTGGATCAGGCTAAAATGGTTTAAACCCTTTTGAGTCTCTTCTCATTTGAGTTGGGCTAGGAACTATGAGGTGTAGGAAAGCTTTTTTTTGTTTTTGTTTTTTTTTTGCTTGTTTGTTTGTTTGTTTCATTGGCACTACCTTTTGATTCCTTACATCTTAGGTTTGTGGGGATTAAAAGGGGTTTTTAAATTTTCATGTGTCAGCCTATAGGCTTCGTATTTTTTTTTCTTTTAGAAGGGCACAGAAATTGTATACTTTGCCTATTTCTTCACTGTGGGTCAACAGTGAATTCTGATGTTCAGTTTGTGGTTTGCTTGTTTCTGTGAGTGTGGAAAGTAAAATTAGGACAGCATGTGTGCATACATGTTTCCATTATGTGTTAGAGAATTATATTTCCCCATTTGATTTTACTAAAACATTACCATATATAAGGTATGTGGAATTTAGAATTACTTGGCGAGGATGGAAAAGTAATGGGGACTCCATTGTCTCAAGGTTTCTGTTAGAACTGCAAGGCAAATGGATGAACAGCCTGAGTGCGGAATTGCCTGCAGCCCCCTCTTCCTTACCTGGGAGCAGGGTGCACAGCCTATGAGGAAGCAATCCGGAATTGCAGGCTGTGGTCTCTGTGCCAGCCTGCTCAAGTCTGTCAGGCATGTTAGCTCATCTCCACTGTCCCAGGAACTGAGAGGTGCTAAGCTGGCTCTGTGCATCCTAGATGAAGAAGCGCTGAAGGAGTAGTACAGGGACATCTGAACTGGATTCAGGAGCAGTGGTGTTGCCTTCTTTTTCCCAGTATTACAGTGTATCCCTAAATGACATCATGTTTTCTTAGTTTGGTTTTACTGGGGTTTTTCTGTGAGATACCTGGCCTGATTATGAAGATGATGAGCAGCCTCAGATTCACACTTGTACCTGCCCAAACTTTGATTTCCTAGCCCAAGAAATATTATGCACAAAACAACTACTTTTAATTCACGGAATCGTAGAATCTTTTAGGTTGGAAAAGACCTCTAAGATCGAGTCCAGCCATTCACCTAATGCTGCCAAGTCCACCATTAAGCTACATCCGTAAGCCCACGTCTACATGTCTTTCTGCCACTGCCAGGGATGGTGACTCCACTGTTTCTCTGGGCAACCTGTTCCAGTGCTTGACAACCCTTTCAGTGGAGAAATTTTTCCTAATATCCAATCTAAATTCACTTACAATTTTACTAAGCTTGAATGAGCCTCCTCTGGGATACTGCTTTAATGAAATACATCTTGTTAAAATACACAAGTCTATCTGTGAATATTCTTGATATGGAATTGGAAAGGAGGATTTGGGATTTACTAATTTGCTGATGTGGAGTAGATGTATTTATCATGTTCTCTGCATAGACTGATTATTTGTATCCTTAAAAAAAAACCACAACAATTTTATATGCAGCAGCTGTTATTTTGGGGGGTTTTTTTTGTTCTTTTTCTAGGTATGAGAACTTCCAGAGACGTCTGACACAGAACCCTCTCTTTTGGAAAACCTAAGCATAAATTCTGTCATTTGAAGTTCTTTCTGAACAGTGTTACCTGAAAGATGCATCAAGTAACTTCACTGAAGATTTTTTGGGTGGAGAGAGAACCAAACAACGATTAGTCTGAAAGACAAACTTGGAACTTTTATATTACTCTTGAACAGTATTTAAAATTAAAATCAATGAAAATTACTTGTCTGCATGTTGGTTCATTTAATTGAAGTACTTGGCTGCAACAAATCAGTGTTCTATGTGCATGCATAGAAGTATTTTTTTGAAACTGCATTTGAAGTGGAAAAAATTACAAGATAAAAAATGGCAGCACTGTGTCATAATTGTGTGGTATTTTGGGGTGCTGGAAACAAAACGCAGTTTTTCCTTCTTTACCTCATTCTGAAGAGTGATCATGTGACTGAGAATATGCTGATGGTTTTCCTGCTGGTACTTGCACTGTAAATTCTTTCACTTTGTGGACAGCCAATATTCCCGTCCCCAGCTCATATAAATGGTACAACAGTATTTCCCTCTTTGGCAGTAAGACACTACTGAGTTTGATCTCGGAGTACCTGTCCTTAACTTTTCTTATATGAAAGTTTAATGAAGAGGAATCTTCAGGAACCTTGGCTATTCTAGAAGAATTATTCCCACTAATTAGACAGAGTGAAATCTTGTTTCCCTTTGAAACAGATGTGGAGTGTCTGATAATGCTGCTAGGAATAGTTATTGGCCCCAAAGGCTGTCACATCTGCTCATAACTTCACAGGATTTTGGGGTGGTCATAGTAATTCTAAGGAGTGCAGTTTCAGCCCGTGAGATGTCTACAGCCAGATGTGCCCAGGTATCTCACAAGTGAGCTCCAGCTGGCCCTTTGGCTCACTAGACCTAGATTAGCTTGATCAGAAATACTATTTTGAAGAATGTGTCCTGCTTTTGTAAGTTACTTTCTGTAACTAAGGCCCATTCCCAAACCACTGGCATGAAAATAAAAGTTTATATTGGCTTCAGTGAGTGGAAACTGAAGCCTTTAAGGGTCCAGTCAGCCTTAGGTTGACAATTGTCCAGAGAATGGAAACGCCCCTTTGATGCTTTTGAGCCTGCTTGAGGATATGTCCTGAGTTCACACCTCAGCTGAAAATGGACTCTTCCCTCGCATAATAGCTGTGGAGCTCACCCGAGGGCCTCAAGGCAAAAAGGGCATGAGCTCAACCTGGGGGTCAGAAGAGGAGGAAAACAGAAGACTGATGAAACCCAGGAAAGATGTGTTAAGAACAACCTTTAGAAAGTAAAACTAATTCTATCCCAGGTAATTTACTAAACAAAGCTCAGGGTTGTTTCCCAAAAGCCATGTCACAGGCCCAAGCCCTGAAGAACTTGATCTCCTGCTCAACTAAAGGCTTTTTTAAAGACACAGTTGTAGTCATGTTCATGGAGCAGAAGCAATGAGGGAAGTCAGCAGAGGCCCAAGCTGAACTCCCTACTCAGAATGGGTAATTAGGATCATTCTGTGTGACCTGTCAAATTCTGCCGTAGGGTACTCCTTGTTGCAGTTTTCTACAGCTCTCATTATCTGACACAGTTTGGTGAAGAACGAGCCATATAACCTACAGGTATATAAACCTAAGGGCCCTGTCTGGCTAGAAGCTGTCACACTGAGCTGTAGTAACAAGCTACTTCTGTTCTGACCAAAACTGTATTCTGGTTATGCCATGGTGCTGGTGGGATTGTTGTTTGGGCTTCATGAAGCCACAACTAGACCATGTGGCTGGGATGACTAAGTCCAGCATGAGCTCTGTGACTGTTCTTGCCTCAGCTCCAGTCATCAAGGCTGTGAAAGCAACAACGTATTTATATGGGTTTTGAATATTTCAACAGTGTGTATCAAGAACTTCTCCCACTGCTGTAGCCACTGCAGGTTGGGCAGTTGTCTGAGCTTACTGAATGTGGTACATGCTTGAGAATATCACTGGAAATTACTTTTCTTTCCTGCTGTGGCTGAGCTCACAGATCAGAAATTCATGGAGGGAAAGACTCCATCCCCCTCCCGTATCAGAAAGGTGCCTTTCAAAACTGCTACAGAAGTAAGAAGTGATTAATTTCTACAGGTTGTAGGGATGGCCGAACTGCTTCTCAAGCACTTTTTCTTTCTCATCTGTGAGGCACATGATTATGGTGGGTTACTGCTGAATTCCACCAGTTATGTGAGATCCCATAGTGTGATCATGATGTAGGATGCTTGAGGAAAACAGGCATGCAGTTTATCTAAGAAAATTTATTGTAAGAAAACGCCAGGGTCTTGTAACAGCACGTTTTTATCATTTCTAGTTCTGCCTGATCAATTTGGCATTTGGTTTCAGCCTGCTAAACATCTTTCCGTGTGGATTCAGCATCCTCGTGAGGTAAGGTCAGAGACACGCAGAGGAAAGGAGCAGCACCTGAAAACCTGAAGAGGAATGGGCTCACGGACTCTCACTCCTGTGAGATCCCAGGGAAGGATCTGTTTCTATAGGTATGTAGCTCCCAA